ATATTGTTGGGATCCGTTGCCGGGCAACGCCTAATGATGACAGACTGGGAAGACTTAGAGCATGCTATAGTGAATTGTAAAACGCGTAAATTAATGAAACAACGATTGCTTGTTTTAGTTTATGAGAGTCCATAAATACAGATTACCAGCTAAACCCACGTTTAGTCACGTGACAATATTTTTCTTAGTTGGAGTGAGTTTTGTGTTATTTTAAGACTCTGTCAGTATCTCAGGCTATATAATGTTGAATCGCAGGACTACTAATGGCTGATGAATTGGAAAGAAGCACTCGTAGCCCAATCCAGGCAAATATGATGTATTTGCCTGGAGGGACTGAGAAAACCGTGTTGTGTCACAATTTCTCTTGACCATGATGTCAGAATGTGGTGTTTCATTAATATGTAAAAGCACGTTCTCATTTAAGTAATCTCATTATTTCAAAATGCACAGTATGTGTTATGCACAAATAAAAACGGGGTAACAAGGAACTGTGTCTGTTATAGCAGTATCGTTTTGTAGTAGAACCACCAGATTTCGTTAAGAACAGCTTATTTCGTACATGTTATTCAAAAAAGTGGCAGTGTCTCGTGTTTTGTTATCAAATGGGTGGACTACATCAGGATGGAGTAAAATGGCCGACATTTACAAATATTGATGAACTTTCGAGTTCCATGAAAGTAGGGAATTTCTGACTAAGTAGCTATCAGCTTTTCAAGAAATATTTTCCACCTTTGTTCTAGATAATTGTGGCAACGTTGCTGTGCTTAAGAACCTGCCTCAATACTTTAATGCTCTAAAGAGGAGGCAAATAAAATCTATGCCACAAGACCTGATATTTTTTACTTTCACTCTCGTACACACTTTCTCTCGAACAGCTTTCACTCTCCTTCACCACAAGGTCGCGGTATGAAGGAGACTGTTCTTCATTTATGATGAGAAATTTACATTCCGGAAGAACAAGTGACCCAGTCCTGTCAGTGCAGTGAATTGAAATTTTTTCCAAATGCGTTCTTTGCTCTTTTGCATGCCTCGTTTTCTTTTATGTTAATTAATTTAGCTAAAAAGGAGTATTCAAAAGATAAAGCTACGTACACCAACTCCGCAGTCAGAAAATATCGATCCTTGTAAAACGTAAAAAGGCAAAAAAAAAAAGAGGGCAAAGCTCTCCCTGTAACAGGCCGTGGAGGCCCATAGGGTTGTGAGACGTCGAGGCTCCCACATTATCTAGACAATCGGATCACAGATGGCGGTGAGGTTGTCAGCCTTACGCGCCAGGCGCCCTTTATTTTCCAGGAAAATTATTTAATTAATTCCTGGTACTCATTTCTGTTAGAGGCTTAATAGACCCCAGAGCCATAGGGCAGCTGGAAGGATTAGGTCAATTGAAAAATTCAATGACCTCATCGGGGCTCTAACCCGCAACCTTCCCCCTTTTAGTGTAGCGCCTCAACCAACTGCATTACTGCCTGCCTCCAAACCTTGTGTTTCGTTAAATATTCGCCCTGTTGGAAAACGTTTCAACTATTAATTGCAAATATTAATGAGATTTACTCGTGTATTTCGTTATTTCCACATTTTGTAAATTGTAAGGGGTTTGTTATTATTTTTTAGAATATTGATGTAAGGTCGATTACAGTTTCCAGTTACAGTTACCAAGGCTAAGAGTAATCTTGAATGCTGTCACTTCTCACACCCTCGAACCCACCCCCTTGTCTGAAATTTTTCTTCTGCGCATTCAAGGTTACTCTTGGCCTTGTTCGAAGTTACGTCACACTTGCTTTAAAACAGGTGAACTGACCAAAATTAAAACTGTACAATCAGCTTTGGATCCAGAATGACAAATTCAGCTAAATCTAGTAAATAACTTCGAAGTTGGAACATACTTATGAACAAATATAGTGCGTTCAGTCAAGGAGGAAACTTCGCAACACCGCTGACCCGGCCCAACATTCCTCACAGATTCCTACTGTAACTGCTGATAGCAGAATGAGTCATTAGCGCTGATAAACGCGTGCCGTTACAGTTATAGTAGCAATCTGTGAGGAATATTGGGCCCGGTCAGTGATGTTGCGAAGTTTCCTCCATGATTGAACATTCTGTATTATCTCCTTATTGCACGTTAATTTTGCGGATTATGGGCAGAGTTGTAGGCTGTTGCTCTGTAGATATAATCTGTATGCTGTTAGGATGTATCGTTTCTCAGGTGATTGCAATTCAATAGGCAGATGAACGGAAGAACAAGCTTCAATTTTTTATCTTAAAACATCAGAACCAATTCATCTATTCCAAAACAACTGGTTAAAACTTAGGGACGGACACTGAATTTAAGAAATGGTGAACCAGCAGGAGATAAACTTAGCTCTTGAATGTGAGGCTCCAGAAAACATATCCTCTCACAATTTTAATCATATTGTTGCGTATTTGCTCTATGCAGGAACTGTTGAGCCACAGAGGCCTCGGGGCACGCGTGCAACAGGAGAGTTGCGGATTGTATCGGTGCGTTGCTAGGCGACAGCTCTGTGCACGTTTGGATGTGAGGATGTCAGGAGTGATTTAGAAAGCTATGTGTGCGACGGTGCAGTGGATTATAGGGTGTATGTAAATCAGCGATAGCGTTATAATTTGAGTGTAATTAAGAGAGTGCGTGTAACCAGGCTGTTAATAATTCCAATCATCCGAAATAGAACCCGCCATCTCGTTGTCCGTTCTAGAAAACCGAGATTAACAGCCGTGGGAATCCGTTGCGCTCACCACGCGACACCCTCTATCCGCAAAAGTTGGCACTAATTTCGCCGATAAGCGGAGGTCGCTCGGTCGGTATTGTTCGCTTGTGGACTAAAGACTACGGAGGAAAGGATTAATTTCGTTGAATGTTGTTGTACGGTAATTGTACCAAAGAACGTCCAATGCTTAATAAGGTTCAACCTCTCTGCAATTAATTGTACTTACTCAAGCGAGATGAGGGAAGCAGCCTAAGATCCATTGTGTGAATTTCGAGGGAAGGTTTGGGAAGGACTATTTGCATTCATAAACTTGTTGTTTATTGTAGTTATCTGTATATTCTCTTCCTTTCTCACGCACCACACTGAGGTTTTAGAATTGTTCGATAAGACGCATTCTATAAAGAAAACAACGAAACAAGAAAATGGGCAAGTATTAGGCAAGATCCATCCACGTTCCCAAGTAGACGTGTCCGAAGTCCCAAGAAATGCCATGCGGATTATTTCTGGAGATGCTGAACCAATGCTAATACTATGAACTGAAATTATAGATGTCTTGTGGTGAGGATTCAGTTGACATAATCCTTCCAGCCGTACTATGACACTGGGGTCGACTCAGCCGCTATCAGAAATGAGTACCAGGAGTCTTCGTGGGGAGTAAAGAACGGCCGGCACATAAGGCTGACAACCTTACTGCCATCTGTCAGCTTATTGTCTAAAGAAAATGTGGGAGCCTCGAAGTCTCACAACTCTGTGGGCCTTTACTGCCTGTTATAGGGATAGCTTTACCTTTTACCTGACACTTCTTAATTTAAGCTCTTTTAGCCTACTTCGATCTGTGAGCCTAATTGGGCTTTTGTCATATTTGGAGCCTATGTTTTTTATAAGGGGGCACGCGGTAGCGTAGTTGGTTGAGGGGCTATGCTACAAGCCGGAAGGTCGCGGGTTGAAGTCCCGATAAGGTCATTGGATTTTTTTCAGTTGACCTAATCTTTTCAGCCGCACTAGGCCCTGGGGTTTACTCAGCCTCTAACAGAAATGAGTACTAGGAATTAATTAAATAATTTTCCTGGGGAGTAAAGCGCGGCCGGTGCTAAGGCCGACAACCTTACCGCCATCTTTGAGCCGATTGTCTAGATAATGTGGGACCCTCAACGTCTCACAGCCCTATGGGCCTTCAGGGCCTGGTACAGGGATAGCTTTACTTTATAAGTCGCACTTGTCAATCACTTCCTACATATTACAATTCCTTAAGTAAAGAAATTTCAAGTTCAAATACATTTTTAAATAAATAGTTTTGTCTTCTGGCATATAACGCCTTGTAGCCCGTTAAATATAAATCAAAGTTTCTGAGGAGTATATCTCTTCCGAAACGTCGGTCGAATTTCAATTGACTGCATGGTTTTATATCCCCAGAGCCAGAACTCTTCACAGTCACCGCTCTGAGAACCCCAAAGCTTACATATTTTAAATGGCTCATTGAATGTATAATACGCGCCCATGTTTTAATTTTTTTAAAGTGACGAAAAAAGTACAAGACCGTCCAAATATAACGCAGGACTTGCACCGTACACCGCCCTTGCTACACTAACGGAGAATGCTGACACTGGCGATTGTCCTGATGAAAGGTGTCCAAAATAAACTCATTATCTCAGAAAGAATTTATTATACACATTAATGGGTTACACCATTACAAAAGGAAATTATCGAAGTTTTCTTCTTCGTATATACCTTTCTCAGTAAATTTAAATGTGGGCTCCTTTTGTGGCACGACAAATATTCAGGCTTAAAGCAGGTTTGGTGTTACCGTAGCCACAGCGTCCCTTATGCGGGCTTTCGGGTGTTGCAGGTCGCTGATCTTAACCTGGTAGACAATGTTCTTCACATAATCCGCAAGAAAAAATCCACTGGGGTTAAATCTGGCGTCCTGGGAGGCCAAGCGATTGGTCCACCTCTGCCAATTCATATCCCAGCCATCTCTCTGTCCAGGTGTTTGCTAACATGGTGGCAGAAATGTGGCGGCGCATGCGCGTAAGCCGGGTATGAAAAAAAAAACTTTCAGAGTTTTGCTTTTCAAAGACATAAACCGGATACGTGTATGACAATTAATTTCCGAGATATGAATTTTTTACTTTGCATACCTTTCATCCGGACGTCCTATATAGTTGGAAATGTCAGCAAATGGTGTTTTAATTTTAATTTTGAATATTTTCATCGATGCCTCTAGGGAATGCTGTAAAGTATTTGTCCCACTAAGAGTTCTAATTCCACTGTTCGCAGAAGCGATGCCCTCCCTGACACTCTTCGGCCGCAAGTGGCTGGTGGCTTCGGACGACCTCGTGTTCCCAGGGATCTTCGAGTTTGTCTTCAGGTTCATATGGTGAGTTACATGGGTCGGTCTTTCTAGAGTATTCACGTACTCAACAAATTTCATGTTTTTATGGAATCCAAAAGTTCATTATCATGTGTACAAGAGCCCCGTCATAGAGCTCCCTCGTGAGTTATTTCAGTCAGTCGATATCTTCACACGCTCTTCCCTTAAGATCCAATTTATTAGCATCCCTCCAACTACGTCTAGGTGTTCCAAATTCCCTTTCTTCCTTTCAGGGTTTTCGTCTTCGGTTTTATAGGAAATGTGCATTTCTTGTTTTCACACAAACGTACTAATTGTCCCGCCTAACAGCATTACATGAAGAGAGTGTAGGTCCTCATGCCACTTATGCCCAAATAGACCATCTTACTTAGGTTATTTATTATCCGGCGCCCTGATGCTTTTGTTCACGACTTCTATCCAGGAACCGCGTCTAGGGAAGGTCGAATATGTGGAGAAGCAGGACAATTTCGTATTGGCAAGCTTTAATGTCGCTAGTAAGATTAGCTGTACATATAGAACATGTAGTCTAGTGGTTAGAGTTCGTGACTACAGATCCAGAGGTCCCGGGTTCGATTCCCGGCGCTACCAGATTTTGTGAGGAGTAGTGGGTCTGGAACGGGGTCCACTCAGCCTCGTGAAAATAACTGAGGAGTTATTTCAAGAAAAGAGCGGCTCCGGTCTAGAAAGCCGAGTTCAACGGCAGTGGGAATCCTTGCACTGACCACGTGACACGCTCTATCCGCAGAAGTTGTCACTAACTTCGCTGACATGCGGCGGTCCCTCGGTCAGTATAGTTCGCTTGCGGATTATAGGCCAAGGAGTTTGTTTGTTTGTAGAACATGTGGAGAAATGCGAAATGCATACAGTTATCCATAAAATTTGCAGAAAAGTACAGGATGCCCTTAAAATGCTTTTCCGGTACTTCCGCAGTTTCCTCGAGGAGTGTCCCGGAAATTCTGTTATAAATCTGACGCTGTCCAGAAATAAATTCTGACTATTCTAGGACTGTACCCCCAAACCCAAATACAAATAGAAATCCCTTTGAAGACTATTCCCCTATTTCGCTGATATGTTCGTGACAAATTCCGAGATCTCGGGACAGTAATAGTACGAAGTGTGTTTGTTCCAGGGTGGTCCTGCTTTCCCTGGCCTGCGCCCGCTACTTTCCATACACGTGGCAGTGCCCGGAAGGGGGTGTGTTTGTGCGGGTGTACATGATAGGGGTGCTGACTATTCTGGTGTGTAACATGGTCCTGTTGGTTCCGCTGGTGAATAGGAGTGCGCAGGGCGCCATTTTGGACACAGCGGCCAGACGCCTAGTTGCCCCACTACTAACAGTGAAGTACGTTACATGCATTATTATTATTATTATTGTTAATGGGCAGAGGTGTACTATTAATTAGTGGGCTTTTGGAATGTCACCGTGTGATGTGGTAGGTGACTACCAGCATTTTTGTGGCACACGTTGTCTCCATCTTGAGACTGGTTGTAGGTTACACACTTTAGCATCGGAAGCTAAGTGAAGAAACAAGAGGAAATAAGTGCATAGCGTCCGTGAATCAATTTCCGTTATGTAGGATAGGGTGGGGAGATCACATTGCTGGGAGTGCCTGGCAACCACTCAGTTGTATGAAACTGCGATTCGTGAGGACACCGTGTGGCTGACAGATGAAGAGACGGCGGGAGCAAGTGTGAGGGGGTCAGCACGGGACAAAGACGAGCCTAGTCCGTGTGGTTGCTGCTGTTGATGACAATGATGATGATGATGATGATAATACTGTGACTGAATATGACCATCTGCTAGGCAGCGCAGTCAACAAAGAGCCTTTGTTGCTTAGTAGCCAACGTTTCGGTAAGCACGTTTTCGTGACAGCGAATCATTTACATGGATTTCCATGGATACGAGCTAGCCTACGTAAGGAACCGTGGAGGCTCTTCAAAGATTCATTCATCAGACAGACGTCGTTCAAGGCAGTGACAAATTCTTCATACGGTATTCGGAAGGGAGTTCAGTGTGTGAGCTCTTATAATAGACTGTAATTATAAAGAAGTGCCAATAAATCCAATAATCAAATCCAGAACCCATTAGTATTAGTCACGCCAACCCCTTATACGTGACAATACTTTTAACTACCCACTCGTACATGTGAGACATTCTGTACCTCTGTGAAATTGAAGCTAATTCTTTGTTTAACCTCCATGCCATTAAGGCGTAGGCTATTTATGTGGTGTAGAAGTAAACCTTGACGCATCGTCGATGCTTCACGTTCCAGCAGATTTACAGCACACGTGAGACTGGGTGGAAACAGGAATGCATAACCAAGGCAAAGGAAAAAATGTAAAGTTATCCCTGTAACAGGTCGTTGAGGCCCATAAGATTGTGAGACGTCGAGGTTACCACACTATCTAGACAATCGGTTCACAGATAGCGGTAAGGTTGTCAGCCTTACGCGCCGGCCGACCTTTACCCCCAGGAAGATTCCTGGTACTCATTTCTGTTAGAGGCTGAGTTGACACCAAGGCCATACTGCGGCTGGAAGGATTTGGTCAACTGATAACTTCAGTGACCTCAAGAGGAGCAATTAATTCAACGGGAACAAACGTAGCCAGGCCAAGGCCCACAGGCTCTGTAGGAAGCTCAGAAGAAGAAAACAATCGAGGGATGAAAGCAAATATTGAATGTTAAAAGCAGATTTGGCCGGTCACGGTAGCCGAGCGGTCTAAGGCTTGCACTGTCTTCGCTCGCTTGGAAACCAGGATCGTGGGTTCGAATCCCACTCAGGGCATGGATGTTTGTGTGCGTTTTTCTGTGTTTGTGTACAGGTAGAGGCCTTGCGACGAGCTGATCACCCGCCCAAGGAGTCCTACCGAATGTGTAAGATCTAGAAAAACTGAAGTGAACGGAGAAGTTCATGGAGGTAGGCCTAGGCCCACTGGGGCTGTAGTGCCAAGGAGCGGGGGGAGCAGATTTGTCCCCATTTTTAATTGAACATCATTCCATAAAGCCATATGAGCGAGTTTAGATGTAACTTTAAGCACTCTTAGCGTTGAAACTATGTAAACGAGGTGATCACCAGGCCTCGCCGCGCCGCTTAATTTTTTCTATGTCCATTGAATAGGAGACGCAAGGGCTTCAGAGCCGGTACGGGCACGGTGGTCAAGAGTAATAACGCTACCCTAGCTGTAAATCGAACCCCAGTCCTCTGGTCATCAATCCCGTAGACTAGTCACTATGCTTTCTCTCGCTTTCCTGTTTCTCCCACTCAGAGCAGAGGGCATCCGTGAAACTCTTCGTTTTCCTTCAGTTTCTTAATCCTAAGACAGTCAGTAGGACTCCTTGGAGGAGTGACCTGCACACAGACATCAATGCCTCGAGTGGGATTCGAACCCACGATCTCAGCGTTCGAGCGAGCGAAGAGAGTTCATGCCTTAGACCGCTCGCCCACCGTGATCGGCAGTCACTATGGTCACTTTACTAACCCAGCCTAACTGGTTCCAAAGAAGTGAATGTTAAGAGGAGGCCGACATGCAACCAAGACCGGAGAAAGTGGGCATTAACACTGCCTGGCCAGGGTCTATTGCTCCGGGATGAGTGGGAGTTAGGCAGACAGCAAGCGTATCCATCTTTTGGGGTGCTTTGCGAGAAAGTGACTAAGATATCCTCTTCGTTATTATTAAGCGACACTGTAATAACTGCGTACGTTATTTGCTGTAGAATGAAACTGTAACCACCCACAGCCTCCTTCCCTCAGAACCTTCAGACACCGCCGTTGGGTTGCAGTTGATGCCGCCTTGTACTTCCGCTGCCCTTCTCACCTCAGTGGATGTAGGCACCAGAGGATCGGTGTCCACAAAAGTTAAATGGGGTTTGGTATAGCTGCGGTATATTGGGTTCCAGGTTCTAGCGGGACTTTGTAAGAAAATACAGCGGGAACAGTTCGTGCGGGAATTTGTAGGAAACCCAACAGCACCCGCATCTCCTCAAGCTTCTGTCGCGATTTCTGCAATGTCTTTCTGGGCTTGGCCCGATTCTAGAACAAAAGAGTAAGGTGACCTCCACATGACACCATGAACAGGAAGTGGAGGTATGGGCTCCACACATTTTAACGTTCACCGATTGAACAAATTGGCTCTAACGGTGACATTTTTGGCTTGCATTCAGGAGCTGCCCGGTTTGAATCTCGGCCTGGTCATCGAATATTCCGAATGAAGGTTTTCTTGGTTCTCTTCAGTATCTCCAGGGAAATTCTGGAATGGTACCTGAAGAAAAGGCCACGACAACCTTTCCAATTCACTGCTCACCGTCCTCCTGCCACTTAACACTATGAAGTTTGAGCCCGTGGCAACGTCGATAGGGAAGCATAAATAAACAAATTCCGACAGCGGTCAGTTCCAAGCTTCTCTCGCTTTACACCCGGGATACAGAATAGAGACGATAAAAACACGGTGTGTAGTGGAACATCTGCCCACTCCTCCACCTCTCCTAGGATCCAATCCTAGAAATCCCATAGTAGACAGTGTCTTTATCGGTCTAGCTCAAAATTCAGTTATGTAATTATTAATTTATATTTGATGAGCTCTCTGTTAGTGTCATTAAGGTCTTAACAGAACCTTATGTGTTCTTTCCCATGTATTAATATTTACTTCCTAGAGTTGTCCTTGTATCCAGTACGCCAACAATTTGCCTTCCTTCCGCCTGTCGCTGTAATCTTCAGCAACTTGAAATGCAGCCATGTTGCTCTTCTCCTCACTGGGAAAACCAAACACTGCGTTTGCTTACGAAAGATAACCCGTTCTTTAAACACTGCAAAGTACACGTATGGGATGGCGCACTGAAAGTTTGTATTATTACACTAATATGCAGAAACAGACAAGTAAGAGAACAAGAATGGATATATACACGTTTATTTCCAAATGTTATTTCCTGTTTTTACATTCCTCGTTTGCCTCGAATTTAATTTATTTACATAGATAAATCCATTGCGTAGATGGGTAGACAATATTAAAACTGATCTTAGAGAGATAGGATGGGATGGTATGGATTGGATTGATCTGGCTCAGGATAGGGACCAGTGGAGGGCTCTTTTGAACACGGTAATGAACCTTCGGGTTCCATAAAATGCTGGGACATTCTTGAGTAGCTGCAGAATTGGCGACTTCTCAAGAAGGGCTCAGTTTCCTAAGTAAGTAAATCCATTATTACCAGAACTCATAAACAGTACAGATGCTCACAATCACTGATCCGATTTTGTGTTCAGGGGTTGTGAGAACTACTGAAATTTACTTACGATTGATAGTTCATGTTTGTAATAAGTGTACGAGACAGAGAACAGTCTGTAATTAGGAAAATTTTAAGAAGGGTGGATACCTGTGTCTATGAATTTTCGGTGGGTGTCTGCTACACTGCCGAGCGGTCTAAGGCGTGCACTGTGTTCGCTCGCTCGGAAGCCGGGATCGTGGGTTCGAATCCCACTCAGGGCATGGATGTTTGTGTGCGTTTTTCTGTGTTTGTGTACAGGTAGAGGCCTTGCGACGAGCTGATCACCCACCCAAGGAGTCCTACCGAATGTCTAAGATCTAGAAAAACCGAAGTGAACGGAGAAGTTCATGGAGGTAGGCCTAGGCCCACTGGGGCTGTAGTGCCAAAGGGGGGGGGGGAATCTGCTACACTGAACATGTGTTGAGGTTAATGAGTAAAATTATTCGGATATCCGAAGAATCGACAACAAAATCGCATCTGAAATGAGTATGACCCATGGAGAAAGGGGATGTAGGAACGAGTTGAACTTCAGCCGCGAAAATTTTATTCTGATGAAATGAAGAGGCCTGTGAAATATTTGTCATTACCCATTGAAATCCAGGCAAATTACATGTAAAAACCAAACATGTATAAACCCACTGAGCAATGCCGTTGCCGAGTAATGATTTCCATTATGTGTTATAATTCCAGGATCCTACTACTCCTTCCAGAGGTTGGCTGGAACATCATGGGCACGATGTGGCTGTTCGGGGAGACAGTGCAGTGCAGCAGTGAGCACTTCACCACGACTGTTACGGAAGGTAACGGCCCTATTGTAGAAGCAGAAGTGAAATGCCCTGGTTGTTCGGTTGCGCAAACGAAGATAAAACGCATGGCACTGGTGTGTCCGTTAAGGCGCGTCCACATTACTCGTGCTCATGTGACTCGCTATGCTCTCGAGTAATGTGGACGATATGACAAGTCACGAGACAAGCACATTTTAAATTTTTAATTTAAAAACTATAGCCAATAAATTAAAATACGGCTACAACCTATACACAATACGAGTAAATATACGGATCCTCACGCGCCGAAGCCTGGCGAGCAACTGAAGTAGTGTGGACGAAGATTTACGAGCACAAGTAAAAGCCAGAGAGACTCCCGACGAGCACAAGCCTGGCGAACACGAGCACGAGTAATGTGGACGCGTCTTTACTGAAACTAAAATGACTCCCATGCAGCTGGTGGTTCCGGTAGCCAAACAAAAAAAAAAAACGCATGGCACTGTTGGTTCGAGTTTGTAAAAGAGAGTGGATTTTCGGTAGCAGAAACGAAAATGACGCTTATGGGACTGGTAGATTGATTACGTGAAAGAAAATCAAACGCTTTCATTAACTCAAACCCAATGGAACGCGTAGACGTGGATAGTCTGGCTCTAACCTCATGTTGTGGCCGCGCCATAGCTCAAGCGGTTAGTCGCTGGCTTCCTACCGCTGCGGCCCGGGTTCGAGCCCGGGTCTGGTCAAGTGGGATGTGTGGTGGACAAAGTGGTGCTGGGGCAGGTTTTCTACGAGTACTTCGGTTTCCCCTGCCAATTTTCATTCCACCAATTGCTCCACAATCACCCTCACCTATCATCTGGGGCTGGTACAATAGGCCAGAAGTGGCCGCAGTACAAGGGTCTTAGTCCCACCCAACCAATAATTAAAAAAGAAACTCATGTTATGAACACGCTGATAGGATTCAGACTTTGGAAGTTCGGGGAAGGACACAGGTGGTAACAGCTCCCCCCCCCCCCCCAATTCCTCGCCCAAATGTTTTTNTTTCTTGTAAAATGCTTAACGTAACAACACCCCTGCATAATATTCCAGCGATGTCTGCCACCCTCTGAGGTTTTTGTAATTTTCCACATCTCTGCAGGTAACAAATTGGCCACTGTTGCTGCATTGTTCATTCTTGCCCATCCATTCTTCGCCAATCATCCTATCACCCGACGCAGTATAGCTTATACTCTGTTGTTAATGTTTGCATATTATCCGTGTTTGTATATACATACGTACTACGTAAATATATACATACAGGCCAAGGCTTGTTATTGTTTCGTCATTTTTCTTAGCAAGTAGTTACGAACTGGAGGATTTGGCTGTAAACTGCAGCCCCTGTACGCCGAATTGGTATTATTGTTTCAACTTTGCCGCCGAGGTTCTAATCTTGCGTCCAGATGGCAGCACCGTCTAGTGTTTGATGCTATTCCGCCAAGTTTAGCCTCATGCCATACTATATGTGACCGAATGTTGTCTTTCGAGAACTTTTGAAGTTCATAAGGTTTATATTTAGTCACATCGTGATTTCCAAGAGCATCTCAACAGCTGTAATGTGTAATAATGGATTACAGTGAAGTAAGTAGAGTGTATCCAAGTATCCTAATGATAAATTCAATGATGTTCCTTTGAAATTTCAGCGGGTTTATTCTGATGAATAAATCGGCAAGTAAAATTTCTTTTAAGAACATAACAATAGAACGTTGAAAGGAACTGTATATCTGTATGTCTCGTATATTGAAACGATATTGATCATCTGGAACCACTTTGAACTACCATCACTTCAAATCTTGAGCCACATCTGCCGGTGTAAATAAACCCTGTTCAGTGGTGTGGCCTGTTGTCACCCTACTTCACAGTCCGATCGCTTACTGTGTAAGGAACGTGACAGCAAATTAAATACGATCTCATGTTTTTCATTTTGGCGACAAACTCTTTCTGTTAATGCAGAACAGATAGAAAGAACACACAAGAAACAGATTCTTCCTAGGCAACACACATCTCAAACAGCACTTATCAATGTGGCAAAATAGAACACACTATAGAAGAATATACTTGGGGAAAAAATCGTTTAATGAACAACAAAGAAAACTTTTATATTTATGTTGTGGTATGTGGACCCGTTGCTAGGCAACAGCCGCGAAATGAGCAAATATATAACAGCCGTTGCTAAGTAATGGCTCTGCAAACAACGGCCTTTGCTAGGCGTTGGCTGAGAAGCGATCACATGCGCACTCCAACAGACACGAACGCAACAATTGCACAGCAACATAGGAACTAACAAATCAAGATCTATTGGATAGGAAGGCTGACCTGAACTCCTTGAAAATATTATAGACCTTGATTATTTAAAAGTATTATACCTTGAAGCTTATCATCTTTCCTCGATTTCAAGATAAACTTTCGGTAATATAAATAAAAGCTCAAGGTGAATAACTTAATGAAAGAAAAAGTACACCCACTAATAAATGGTTTGTCATATTGATAAAGCGTGAAAGTTTTAAAAGAAAATTTATCCGTCTTAGGGCTCATGAATGTGTAGAATATCGCTCCTGAAGACATTGAACCTGATTGTGACAGATGTCATCAGCACACATGTACGTACAAGACTCTAATCTTGAGAGCTGTGAGGAATTCGGGAAGTGAGAACCGTTAAAGGCGTGGTGGGAGCAAAGATCAGCAACTACTACCTGAGCCAAAACATTCAGTACGTACTCTACAGTGGTTATGATTATATACACAGTAAGGAGGTCTGTTTCCGTCCCTTCAATTCTCACACCGTGTCAAAATTAGAATCTCTGTCAGTGTGGATGTATGTATGTGTTTGTATGTAAGTACGTACATGATGGGAGACGGTTTATAATTATGTAGATCTGTGTTTATTATGTATGTATGTTATGTTGTTCCAACGCCATGGAAGTTTGCATGTATTTACACGGGTGGCATCTCTGTAGGTCACTTTTCCAGTGGTATCTTCACGGAAAATTTAAGAATCGCATCGCCTTGACCGTAACAGGAGGCATACTGCGTGACATGTGGAGTTCATGCCAAAGAACTAATTTTCAATACTTCAACGTCGCTAATGTCAAATCCACATATCATCGTTCCCCAGTTCTGTCATATCCCATCTCCTTCTCTGTCCCCCAAGTGGCCGTTTTCTAGCATTCCATTCTCATTTATCGGGGTTGTGTGTAGGGCTGGTGCTATTCAACTGGGTGCTCCTCGCACTGACTTTGTTCGGGCTTGCTGTCGTGTTCGACCCGCTGGGCTCCACGCGGTTCAGCGAGCAGGAATCTACTTTGGAGACACTGCGGCACCGGAAACTGACGCGTCTTTGGATGCGGCGCCTGCAGTGGACGTTCTGCTGGATGCGGCGCGACAAACATGGCAACGACGCCTTCTACCACATGGCCAGTAAGTACAGGCAGAAATTAATTCTTTACGGGGAATCCATAAATTAATATAATTTCTTGGTTGAGTAGTAACGGCGCTTCAACAGCCTGGCTATTAGCGCTCTTTTGTTTGAAAACCTAACTTTGAGGCTACCTGATCTGATAACTAAGTAGTCTCCGCGATTTTTTTTTCAAACTAAGACCATCAGCTGAGCAGAACTGACATGTCGTTCTTTGCTGAATATTTATTTACCATTAAAATATACAGTCATACAGAGAGAATTTAAAAAAAATGCATCGTAAACAGTTTAGAATAACATGTCTACGGGCGAGAGTGGTAAGTAGATCACAGATTGGAAGTAAAGCAGCTACAGGTTTTCTATTTGTATCACTAGGTAGCAGCACAGTGCAGCTTCATTACGGTCCAACTATCAGACCCGCATACGAATGTTCAGAAACGGATTTCAATAGTCAAAATGGCGACAGTGCTTGAGTATGCTACCGAAGAGCAGTTTCTGTTGTGCGCTTTTTGTGGGCAAAAGGACTCGATGCAAAGGATAGTCATGAAGAAATGTTTCCTGTTTACGGTGGGAAGTGTTTGTAATGTAAAGCGGTTTACAACTGGGTCGAGAAAAGTGGCAAACGTTTCGCTGATGACGAAGCGGTTGAAGCGGAGGTCCTGAAGTGGCTGGGACAACAGTCAAAAGACTTCTATGCTGCGGGTTTCGATGCACTGGTTAAGCGATGGGGCAAGTGTATCAGTGTTGGTGGGGGAAATGTCAAGGAATAAATGTTTTTCCCGGGTTTGAATATCACATGTTTTACGTTTTATGTCCATTTGTGACCTATTTACTGACTCTTCCTCGTATATTCTGTTTAATGACTGCATTTGGACACTATATGCAATATGTTCTCTAGCACTGCTTTCGGGTCATTTCTTGCCTTTGCCTGTCTCTGCTGCCCACTGTATAGCGCTTTCATTTTGAGATTTTATCCGGATTTGATTTACATTAAGGTTACAAGTGATAAACTTAATTTATTCTGTACTTAGATTTAAACAAGTTATTTTGGTTAAATCCACGTTCACACTTAGTACTTTATGCCTGAAATGTGACAAAAATACCAACAAGAATTTACATTTATTGAAATTAGTCGACCTTGAAACTACATATCACCAAATCACCTAATGTCGGAACAGAATCATACCGGAGCTTTTCAGCAAACACAAATCTAAAATCGGAGTAGTCTTCATGTATATTTATGGCTACACGTTTCTCGTGGAGCCGGGATAGCGCAGTCGGTATAGAGACTGGATACTGACTGGACGAAAGGGGGTCGGAGTTCGAGTCCCGGTAGGGCCAAGAATTGTCACTTCTACATGTCGTCCAGACCTCCTATCCAATGGGTACCGTGGGCTCTTTCCTCGAGGGTAAAGCGGCCGGGGCATGAAGCTGACCGCTCACCACCAACTAGTGCCAAGGTCAAGAAATCGTGGGTCTGTATATCCACTCCCCATACGCCTTTATCGCATAGTGCTTAATTAGTTAAGCACAGGGATAGCTTTACCTTACACATTTCTCATAGTTAATATGCAGATAGAAATATCTCTCTCGTAGTCGTATGGAACTGTCCTTTCAGTGATCCAGAATCACTTTTCTTGGCGATTACAACTTGATCAGATGCATGCCGTTCAATTAATTAATCGTCTGTAAATGTGTTTTCTTAGCGGTCACATAGTAATTGAGCGAACAGAAAGACCACAACACTGTCTGCAGCAGCCGGAACTGCTGTCAGGCAGATTCTCTGGAAATATATGCTTAGTTATGCCACTTCACGTAGAACATGGCTGTGCAGCTGGCGGGACGCGGCTCATATGCTGACCCCCATTTTGTTTCGTGCGACCCGCGGGTGTACCATTTTGTTCCACAAAATGCGTGTCAGCGCTCTCCTCGTCTTTAGAAAGGCGGCTAGTCCTGTTGAAGAACTTGACGTGGTGTGTGTAAGTGTGTTTGACATTGTCAGCTCGGCACCAATCTTCGGCGATGGTTCTGATGTAACGGCTCAACCAACAGACTGGTGTTCCACTGATTATGCGTCCCTTTACACGTAACCGTCCTTGCTCTCACCTTAAATTTGCTTCGATGGGAGAGGAGAGGTTGGTAGGCGGCTTTGTCTGAATGTAATAGCACAGCATGCTTCGGAATTATCCGCTTCTCCGGATTAAGTTGATAGATATTAACAGGTGTTCGGCAGATTTGTCGTCTGGCCCTGGAAATGTTGGGGGAGCGTAAATCAGCGCCAATGATTATCAGGATAAGAGTTTATATCAGCTGTCTCGTCACCAGAATGCAAGACAAAATCATGACTTAAAAGACAGAAGAATTATCCTTTGAAAATGTGGCACAGCCCAGATCTTTTGGAAAAACTATAACATATCCAAACCTGATTCAGGAGGACATTAAGAGGAGATTGAACTCGGGCAATGCTTGCTACCGTTCAGTCCAGAACCTTCTGTCTTCTCATCTACTGTCTAAAAACATAAAAATTATAATATACAAAATGGTAACTTTGCCTGTGGTTCTGTATGGGTGTGAAATTAGGTCTCTGACATTAAGGGAGGAACATATAATGAGGGTGTTTGAGAACAGGGTGTTGAGAAGAATATTTGGACCAAAGAGAGATGAAGTGACAGGAGGTTGGAGAAAACTGCATAATGAGGAGCTTCATAACTTGTACTCTTCTCCAAGTATAATTAGAATTATCAAGTCAAGGAGGATGAGTTGGGCAGGGCATGTAGCACGAATGGGGAGAAGAGGAATGCGTATAGGATATTGGTGGGAAAGCCAGAAGGAAAGAAACAACATGGAAGACGAAGGCGTAGGTGGGTGGACAATATTAAAATGGACCTTAGAGAGATAGGATTGGATGATATGGACTGGATAGATCTGGCTCAGGATAAGAACCAGTGGAGGGCTCTTGTGAACACGGTAATGAACCTTCGATTCAGTTCTTTACTAGACAGTTTGTTGATGTAATTTGCCCTATTCGTATGCAACTCGAATATGTTTCTGTTGCTTGCAATTCTATTACGATTACTGATTCCAAAAAATTTCGGGGTGTTCAAAGACAAATCTCACCCCTTTACCACGGTAGTTTTTTTTTAAATATTCCACATCGCTACGATAATTTATTTTAAAAACTTTCGGACGTTGCATATCAGGCATTGTCACTTCAGTGTTTTATTTTTAATGAATGTTCATAATGGCACCAAATGTTCCTCTCTGTTCTAGAAACAGTCGATGTTCTGGTTCCTATTCGGAGTGCACGTGTCTTTCTGCGTTCAGATGCCTCTGCAGTTTCTGTCCTTGAGCAAAATGTGATTCTGTTGCTAATGCCGCTCTTAAATGCAGAGATATTTTAGAATCCTGTGTTTAAATTTAAATTGCCTCAACTGGTTTAGCGTTTTTCTTCCTTGTTTTTTCTTTCCTCCCACCCACGTGTTTCTTTTTGTTGTTTCTGTTGTTTTGTTTCCGTGCCGTCCCTGTATTTTGCCCTTGTGTTAAGCGCCTATCATCAAGGTCATCATAATAATAATCAAGGGTATGGGGGGAAAATAGGGTGGGTACTGGCGCTCACTTAAATTTGTTAGTAATATGGAAAGCTGTTTTTAAGGACGCTTGCTATAGTCATGACTCATGTAAAGTAGACCGTCAGCACAATACAAATAAGTATCTTCCAAAGAAGACAAAATAGATACGTTTGTATCACTTTCTTGTTTATTATGTGCAGGAGTATGCTACTTGTTTCGACCTATTTATAGGTCATCATCAAGCAAGTTCCATAAAAACGCAAACTAAGTTTCTTGAATTCGGCTGTCCTAATATCGGTCCACATTACGCAGTTTGTAGTTGTTATTATCTTTTTTTTTTTTTTTTTTTTTTTTTTTTTTTTACAATNNNNGGACTATGAGTACATCTTATTTGATACTTAATCTAAAGCTTAAATACTAGGAGAGAACATGTCGGGGAGAGTAATGCTCCAGTGAGCATTCTCTACGGATCTATTTCGAGTGTGACTTTGTTATTGTGTGTTGCATTTATATGAAGCGTGTCGTTAGGTCGGTCGGCTTATGCCTTTTCAGTCTTCTGGGCTCGTCTGCGTCATTTAATAGTGAGGTTGCCAGTTCATTTGGATGTGCTGTTATCTTGTATTTGTATTTACGGCTGATGTTTGTGGTTTCTTCCCGTACTGTGGATATGCCTAGATCGGCATGTAGCAATCTGTTTGGGACGTACCACGGACCATTGACTATAGCGCGAAGTACTGTGTTTTTGAATCTCTGCAACATTTCTATGTTGGATGTACTTGCAGTTCCCCATAATGGTGCACCGTAAGTCCAAATAGGCTTCAGTATTGTCTTGTATACTAGGAGTTTATTTTCGGTAGACAGTTCTGACTTTCTGCAAATTAGCCAATGCATGTGACTAAATTTAATGTCCAGTTTGTTTCTTTTGGCTAGAATATGTGTGCGCCAGGTCAATCGCCTGTCCAGGTGAAGGCCTAAGTATCTGATTGATTCATCTTGTGGTATGCATGTTCCGTGCCTCAAAGCGAAGGCGATGTGCACGGATTTACCGTATTTACGCATGTATAGGCCGCACATTTTTTGCCAAAAATTCAAGAGGAAAACTGGGGTGCGGCTTATATTCGAAATATTCGAAATCACACTTCATTTAAAAAAATTATATTCGTAATTAGTAATACAGGCTGTTCTACTCCTGAAATAATATTCCAAGAAAATTATTTTTTCTATAATTTCTGTCTGAAAATTGTGCTGCGGCCTATACACGCACGCGGCCTATACATGCGTAAATACGGTAGTTTCGTTGGCCTCAATTCTCCACCGCTGTAGCCATTCTTCGAATTGGTCTAAGTGCGTTTGCAGTATCCGGGATGCTTCGATAGGGTTCTCATGAGACGCTAGTATTGTTGTGTCGTCGGCATAGGTGGGAAACATTGTTT